CAGCCTGGACTTCTGGCAGTTCTCTGCTGATGTGCTGTTCCAGTCATTTTTGGATAATCTTCAGTAGAATCTTGCTTGCATGTGAAATCAATGATCCTGTTCTATAGTTTCTACACTCTGTTGGGTCACCTTTCTATGACATTATCTAGTTTATTATTTTTTCCTTTCACATCTTTTCCAAATATTCTACATTGAATGTGTACTTTGCTAAAAAGAGTAAACTAAAAATATATCATAATGGGATTTACATTAGGAAGTTATCTGAGGAAAAAAAATATTTCCTACCTTATTTTTATCACAAACAGTTCCTTCTTTTACCCACATCGTTTTCCTTTTCTCATGATTTTTCGGATACTCTATGCTAACACAGGTATGATCACCCACATTGGTATAAAAAATAGTGGCTTCGTGATTTTTTATTATAGATTGCATACCAAATTTACATATTAATTTTCCACATTTCTGATCACTACAAATACACAAATAAATGAAAATTATTACTTTTCAATACAGAATAACACATTCATGGACCATGTCTAAAGTATATGCAAAGTTTCTAAACAAATCTAAACAATTCATTTAACATTTATAAATGACACATGCAATTTTTGTGAAATACCTGAAAAAAAGGAAGAATGTTTATAAATTCAGAGAGCCCTAGTGACCTAGTAGATAGACAGTGGAGGTGTTAACCTAACAGTGGCATCTCTCTTGTGGTTAGAATTTACTAGTAGCTTCAAGGGCTATCTCCTCTCGTGCAATTGACTGCCTCTGAAAATCCAATAGACAGATAGTTGTGAGTTCATTCTGACTTGACTGTGATGAGTTTGAGGGTTCCCCTCCCATAAATTGTAAATCATAACATGTTTTAATAGCTCTGAATAACTTCTTAGGTCAATTTTTCTTTGATTCCATCATCATTTCAAATGTATTCGTTCCTAAAAAAGTAACCAAGTTATATAACAACTAGGCTGTTGCATTTCTTTTGTAATTTATTAAATATAATAGTGCTGTGAACACTATGGGTCTCAAATTGCAAAACAGTAAGATACACAATGAAATAGTACTGTACATGCTATATATTAAAATAATGCCACTAAACACATCATAATAGTTGTACTGGAAACAGAAAAAAATCTTTTACAAAATCATCACTAACCACTAATGAATAATAATAAAATCCAACACAAATATCTGATAAAAATGTTTAACACAATAGGAATAAAAGGAAAATCTCTCTACATAATTAATATAATGTACTCTAAACCAACCATCAACATTATTCTCAGTGGAGAGAGGCTTCCAACATTTCTCTTCTGGGAAGAAAACAGAAAAGGAATCCTTTTATTATTAATCTTACTCAATATTCTATTGGGTGTCCTAACCACATCAATACCATAAGAAAGGGAAGATACAAAAGGCATTCATGCTAGGAAAGAATAAGTAACAAACTTACAACTTTAGATAATACATTTCCATACACACAAAGAATAAGTAACAAACTTACAACTTTAGATAATACATTTCCATACACACAAAATACAGATACTCAACATCAATATATGTGGACTTAAAAGAAAGATGAGGAATCTCTTTCTGTGTGATGTACAGCATTGGAAAAACCACTAAGGGTCAGCTATGGGTCAGTTCAAAGTAGAAAAGTCTTATAAAGAAGATAACAACAACAAAAGAAATATTTATCATATTGTCAGGAAATAAGATCAATACACAAAAATCAGTTGGACCTATTATTCTTAGGTTTTAAAGACCTGTGATTTCAAAAGTGGATGGCTAAAACGGCTTTGTGGACTCTTAATCTGCTGGCTCTGCTGAAAACCTGTCCAAAATGGGTGACCTTTCTGGTATTTGAAATCTTGATGGAATAGCTTCCAGCATCACAGCAACCTGCAAGTCACTCCAGTACAGCAACCTGACAGAAGGTGCTGTACTTACAAAGGGAAATGATAAATAAGGAAGCTTATACACAGTTAATCTATAAAACAATTATCAACATGCAAATAATTTCCCCAATAAAACGAACTGACAGATAATACTCCTAGGATCAAAACATAAAAAAAGCCTCCTGAGAAGCAAAGATGTTGAAACTTTGTCTCACATACTTCTGGCATGATGTTAAGAGTAGCTAGTTCTTAAGAAAAAAACAAACAAACAAACAAATAACAAACACCTATGCTTGGGAATGAGGAGGGTCAGCTAAAAAAGGAAGAGCCTCAACAAGAGGGATTGAAAGAGTGACTACATCAATGGTCTAAAGTATGTCAGAGATGATAGGGCAAGATTCACATCTGTTATTCATAGAGTCATTATGAGTCATAGTCAACACTAAGGCACCTAACAACAACAACCACCAAAAAAGAACTCTGATAAGGAAAACAATATAGGCTCATAAGATGAAGTACTTATCAATAAACCTAGGGAGTGACAGAAAAGATTTTTACAAGGAAAGTAGAAATATGTTACCAGAAATGAAAGATATCTATATAAATGAGAAAATGTACCATATTCGTGGTTAGGACTTCACATATGAAAATGTCAATAATATCCAATGCGATTCTCAGATATAACTCAGTCCAGATTACATTAACATCCTTTAAAGGGAGAAGAAAAGTAACTACCAGCTTTACGTGGCATGAAAAGAAATCTCAGATAACTACTACCAAAAAACAAAGGGTATTCTGGTTATCTCATAATTAAGGAGTTCTGCTGCCAACCAAAAGTCAGGCACTCCAAATCCACCAGCAGCTCTGTGACAGGAAATCTCCTTCTGTGTGATTTATAGCCTCTGAAAGCCTTCTGGAGGGTCAGCTACGAGCTGGCTTTGAGTAGACAACAAGATGTTGAGTTGAGTTGACTTAAGGACAAAGCAAGAGGCCTCATATTCTCTGATATACAGCTGCAATGGTCAAACAGCCTGGATTTGGTACAATGATAGACACGTAGACCCCTAGGACAGAATAAAGAATCCAGAAGTAAATCCATCTATCTATGGATAACTGATTTTTTACAAAAGCACAACCAGTATTAAGTGGAGAGAAAAAAAATAACTCCTTTCACAAATGTTATTGGGAAAACTGGTTATTTTCAGAAAAATTAAACTCAATCCATATCTCCCATCATATTCCAAAATCTAGCTGAAAATAGATTTTTAAAAAAAAACCTAAATGTAAAACCTAAACTATAGAAAATATGAAAGGAAAAAGCACCACCAAATTTAATGGTCCTACTTGTACAAAGAAAACTACAGAACATTTCTGCAAGATACAATAAAAGACCTAAAGAAATGGAAAAAATTGTGCCCTGCTCATGAACAATGTTGTGACAATTGTATAATGCTATCAAAATCAATCTACAAGTTTAATACAAGCCCAATACAGAAACCAAATTCATTTTTCAAGGGAAATTTTCAAGGTTATTTGGAAAGGAAAGACATCCCAAATACGCAAAGCACTGCTGAAAAACAAA